TTGGGCATGACCGAGGATGGAGAGCGGCAGCCGCAAACCGAGTATTGTGGCGTACTATTGTTGATTATGTCTTATCTTAAATGTGATGTTGTACAAATAAATGTATGTATGTATGTATGTATGTATGTATGTATGTTACTACCATCAGCTGTTTGACTATCGTGATTGTGATCGGTCGCAACTCTGGAAATAGGAGCTGAAGGAGAAAATTTGTGAAAATTATTGGATATAATATGTTGCTCTCCATGTTTCAATGCAAACGTTCAACTTATTAGCATCTGCACTTTCCAGTAAGTTGCATTCTTTTTAGTTATTCTAGAAACGACCAACATTTTCCATGTGGCCAGTGTCCGAAGCGGTTATAATCGTAGGTAAGGTAAAGAATAAAAGTGCTGTATTTATGCCATACAAAATTATGTAACACTTGTCATTGGCGTAACAACGGAGGGAGTAAACGTAACTATTCAAATAGAGGTATCTGATTTTGTAAACAATCACTTCAATAGACGATTTGTGACAACTGTTAGCTCACTCACAGAAACTAACAACACCAGCTAGTAGGAAAAATATTTTTCTACATGATGATGGTGTTTGTTTGCGTAGGTGAGTTAGCTTGAGGTGGTTGTTTACAAAAGTAGATACATCTATTCGAATAGTTACGCTTGAATTACTTATTTTCCTAACTAATCTAATCTAATCTAATCTAATACAAATGCAGCCTGTACGAGAAAGCATCCTGGAAAATGATTAGGTTAGATGAGGTCTAATCATTTGTCTTGTCTAATTGATGTTTACAGCATATCTGAGATATGATATAAACATCAATACGGCCAGGCCTACTGCGTTGTATTTGCCGCAGAGATGATTCTTGGAAATTAATGGGAACATTTTTTGAATCTACAGGGGTGGAAGGATGCGTGGACATACCGTACCAAACGCTCCGAGTTACTATGTGTAGATGTGTGTAGTGTGTAAATATTTGTACAATATTGAAGAATCATAAAATAATACAATGGAAGGATCTTACCGAATTTTTTCCTGTCTTGGTAATGATTCTTTTGCGCTTAAAAGTTTCATTGAATGCCTCCGCTCCTTGTTTATCATGGGGTTTGGGATGCAGTTCCTCGTCATTGCTCGTGGTTATGTTTAGTGATGTGATGGAGATCATTTCTTTCACTAGAATCTACTACTCCTGGCTGATCTGCCAGCCTTGCATCGACCTGAAACCGCAAGCAAGCACATCAATTGCCTTCTCGCTCAAATCCTTCGTTGTGGGTGGTTCCGATAGATACGCGCCCATTTTGGCTAGCAGGCAGCAGCACTTTGCAGGAGAAAATTTGCACGTTCGATTTTAACCTACTTCTACTGGATATCACCGTTACCTCCTGGACTTATTTTGTAACTTCCGGCATCCGGATCGTTATGCACTTGTAACTAAACCCAAACGGACACAATTTAACAGCGTACATTAAGGCCTGTACTCGAAAAAAAAAAATGCACCAGACAAAAGTGTTTGCCAGAAATTTATTTTAAGTCGGATTTTCTTGAAACTTTCGCAGAATGAACTAATACATATGGATTATGTTTTGGCATAATTACTTTATTCAATTTCCTTTCCATCGCTGAAAGCCCGCACCTTTCCCTTAAGACCTCTCATTACATTTTGTGCAATGGTGGAGCCGACCTTTTTGGTCACTTTAATTCATTCTTTCTTCAACTCTAGCTCGTTCTTAAACACCTTGGATGATTTTCGAACTTTGGCCTTCATTATGGCCCAAAATCTTTCCACCGGACGAATCTCTGGTGAATTTGGGGCTGGCGGTTTCGGTACAAAAACAACGTTATTGTCTCTGTACCAATCCAACGTCGATCACGCGTAACGGAATGATGCCAGGTCCGGCCAAAATAATGTCTCGCCTCCGTGAGACCGCAGGGCAACAGACGCTTCTGGAGGCACTCGGTGCGGTAAATTTCGCTGTTGATGGTACCCATTGTGAAGTACGGTTTACTCAGTTTACCGCATTGGCATATGGCCTGCCAGAGCAAGTATTTTTTGGCGAATTCGTCCACTTTCTTCTTCCTTACGTCTTTCGGAACATCAAACCGTGATTTGGCAACGTAGAACTCCAGCCCCGGTATCTGCTTTGCGTCTGCCTTGATGTAGGTTTCGTCATCCATAACCACACACATCGGTTTCGTTAACCACTCTCGATACAGCTTCCTTGCGCGGGATTTGGCCGCCGTGTTTTGTTGATCACGCCAGTTCGGTGCCTTCCGGACCTTGAATACACGAAGCCCAGCTCGTTTCATGGTTTGCTGAACGAACCAGGCGGAACACTTTGCCTTCAGAGCCGCGTCGCGAATCGAAAGGTTCGGATTACGCTTGAAATAATCCAACACCTTCCGGGCCTTCACAGGGTCAGCTGTCTTCGATTTTCTTCCACTTCCAGTCCGCTGCTCGGTCGTCTGGAACTCTTTAAACGATTTTACCACCCGCGACACAGTTGTATGGGTGATGCCCAGTTGTCTTCCCATCCATCTCATGGTCGCAGTCGGATTTTCCATGACGGCGCGCAAAATTCTCCGGCAATTTTCTTCTTGTTTCGATGACACCTCAATAACCACTGAACTGATTGTCATGAAATTTTGCACATGTAAACAATTCACTCCAAGCGGCACCGGTGGTGCAGTGGTAAGCGTGATTACCTCTCACCCCAGGAGGCCTGGGTTCAATCCCAGTCGGCGCCACCGGAATGTTCTGAGGCATAACATCTCTGATCACGCCTTCCTTCGGAAGGGAAGTAAAACCGTTGGTACCCGGTTCATGAGTTGATGAGTTGATAGGTAGGGTCCAGGTGTGGGAGCTGCCTCCCTGGCGTCGGTAGCATTGGTGCTCAGCACGGAAAACAAGATCGACGAAAAACAAATCAAAGGAAAAAAAAATTACTCCAAACTAGTTATACCCAGTTTTTTATCAATTTTTACCACGGATAAAAAAGTTACACACGGATAAAAATGGTGCATTTTTTTCGAGTACAAGCCTTAGAAAATTCAGCGATGATCTGCATTTTCGCAACGTTTAACGACGGCGGCGAAGGACGAGAAAACCCGATTCGTTCACTCACGGTAATCTTAAAAACTCTTTCAATCCTTTTGTTTTTAATTAACCAAACACAGCACTAATAAACACACGCGAAATTATTGAAAAAGTTTCCAGATTATCAAAATGCACCAGCTAAAGAACTTATTGCACTAAATTTTTCAATAAACGTCTAGGAAAATAAAGCAGCAGCAAATTCAAAACACGCCAGTCTTACTTAGTTTCCTTACACATCAAAATTGCATAATTGATAAATTCCAAAACAAATAAAGCCTCCCCTAGGATTTTTCTTTAGTCAATTGTAGTAAAAATGTGAGCCACAATGCCCTTCTGGTGTGTAAAAAGAAACCGATTGTCATTTACTGTTGAATCCAGATGGATTACTGGTAGCGCCTGCTTGCCCACAACATCCTGATTTTCTCCAGTGCAATGAATTTATTTCCTTTTTCATGAGGCTATTTTGTTCAACAATAACAAATGTGTTGAATCTCCGTCGGATTGTTTATCTTTCATCACACGGTTTCCCTTAATGTTGTATTCTTGGGATGCGAAAAAATGTATGAGTTGTACCAATAGACACAAGGTATACGAAATATCAGGCATAACATTTGATAACGGCACAAAAGCATTTGTAAACAAACTTTCTAAGGCCCTTTACACGTGAACCAAAGAACTCTCACGCACACCAACGATATCATCGGATAGGGGCAACTATCACCTTTCCGAAAGTGGTATTGGTTTGCGTGAGCGTACTTTGGTTCTCGTGTAAAGGGGCTTAGAAAGTTTGTTTACAAATGCTTTTGTGCCGTTATCAAATGTTATGCCTGATATTTTCGAACATATATCGATAGCCCAAATACGATTTCATTTTCAACTAAATGTTTGTGTCCCTTCGTATTGTTGTTCGTACAATGTATTGCATGGTGTTTTATGGGTATTCGAATGGTTCGTACTCTTTACACGAGTTATTCGTATTTATTTAATGAAACATTCGTTCCCAATACGAAATTAAATCAGAAGCCAGTCCATACAAGGTAGGAATCCAATTCGTTGCTGAAACCAACGAATGAACTCGTGGACAAACGAACGGTCTTGGCCACCCTACCAGGTTCACTGCGTGAGCTAAGTGAAACGGTTTTCCGATATTTTTTCAATACAGTTATAAAAAGTTGTACTGACTGGAAGAAGCAACAGCAGAGCTATAACAAAATAGAAAATTGATGATGAGAATCGATCATCGCAGCTAGGTAGATTATTTTTGAACGTGGTTTACCTTTATATACAGTAATGCCTCCATTTGTTCGATGGGTGGTACCGTCCGCCCACCGCTTTTTATCTTCAGCTGATTTTCTGTAGATATCTAGTTTATGGTTGACAATCACATACAAAAAATGTTTGAAGGACAACCACATAAATAGAGAAATTACTGTATATAATGGAAAGGCACGGGTCACTGAGCTGGTTGAACTAAACCTGGGTCTGATTAGAATTCCAATCACTATACATAGGTGTTGTTTACGGTTATAACAACAGAGTGCCTGTATTTCTACTTCGCAAATGGACATTCACTAGTGATTCTTCTCCAATGCTTCAGCATAAGACAACAAAAACACGCAACCTGGATCTCTAATCCCAGACCAGATTGTCCGGAGTAAGCTTTCGTAAGCAGCAACACCGCATGCATACGATAAATTTGTCCATCACGTGGCTTATCTGTAGCTATCTGCCATCTTAAAGTGACCACTTCATTCGTACCGTGTCGTTCCACTGAACCCTCACCCGGATTGCTTTTATGTGACACATGATTTCACCTGTATACATAATCAACACCAGCAAAACGTAAAGAAGCGAAGCAGACAGCGCACTCCTGTCTCCTACAACATACGCACACTTATCTTACCTGACACGTGTAGATGCCCTCGTCAAGTCGGCTCGCCTTGGTGATGCCCAGCAGGGCGGTATAGTGATCCTTGGAGTCCAGTGGCAGCAGACGGGTCCACATGTTTCTGAATTAATGATACGTCACCGTGTCATTCCCCGTTCCAAACCGATGATAGCGACAGCACCAGACACCAGAGATGTGGGTTGGTAGGATCCGCACCCGCCGCCGCCAGTCAAGAGGTCATCAAAGCGGAACAGTCAAGATGAAAAGCATTGCCAAGCAGGGCCGTGGCCCGATGAAATGCACGTAAATAAGAACGAGATTAAATAACTTTTTATCATGTGATAGGTTTACCGATGATGTGGTGGAAGGGGACGGAGGTGGTTATAGAGAAGGATAAGGGCTACCAGAAGGGACAAGTTTGAGTGACAAGTTTACATTTCAAAGGATTCTCCAGCACAGGAAGGACGGAGAAGGCTTTTTGCGCCTCTTTACGGTTGGGTGACATTTTGCTTTGAAGACAGAAGGCTGCGACTGAATGGCTATGGTAAATACAGTCCACGTGAGCAATATGAAGAAGTAAATAGTAAAAGTTGTGGTGGGTAGGGCAGAAAGGGGAGGGGTGGATGGTGATGGGGAGCTTTCAGATTTATGTGACACAAGACTATTATTTGTTACTTACCGTGTTGCCTTTGTCACGTTCACAAAGAAACCATTTTTATACCAACGAAAGGTCATCGTAGACGAGCCTTGAGCCACGCAGGACAAGATGAACTCAGTGTTCTCTCGGATGGGGCCTTTCTGATTGACGACCACGGACTAGAAGTGGAAAAGTGAGATAGGACAGTTGAAAATTAATCCTATGAACCTGTATTTACACACATATTATTGACAAATATGGGGTTCAACGGGCAGATCCCTTCTTAAACTTATGCAAATTAAGACTGGTGCTCTACTCTACAACAGTTGGTATTTGTTACCAGGTTTACTTTATGTTATGTTCACGACTGTGCTGTTTTGTATTTTTTGTACTGCATTGTGAAAAATATGGAATTTTTACCCCAACTAACTGGCATTTTTCCATCACAACATAAAAGTCAAGTAAATAATGATAATAAATAAGCAAACAAATAAACTTCAAGTTATTCCAAATGATTAATTCTTGAAGGCTTGGCAGCTAGCTAAGTGGTTATCATTTCTGCTCACTGAGTAAAATTTCGGGAATTCAATCCCAGGCCCGTCCCCTTCTTCACTTTTGTCAATATGTCTTGTAATATCCGAGTAGATTTAATGCAAACTAAGATCTGATTTAACCAATCGCTTATCTTACTATCTGAGAGTACCTCAAGAAAGTATTGCTTAGGGGGGTGTTACCAAACTTTTTTTTTCAAGAAATTGATTTTTTATTTTTTTTTGTACTAACTATTTGTTTTATATTACTTCTGCGTGAAGTCAACGATTTACATAGTTGAAGATGCTAATTTCAAAAAACAGACTAGAGTTTAATTTTTATACGATATTTGAGGAGATGAAAGTATAGAGTTGTATATAGAGAGAGTAGAAAGCGAGCAAGACAAATTTAATTAATGAAGTTACGAATCGGTTCGATAATCTCTCTTTACCACCCAAGTAACAATTCAGTAACCATTTAGCATCCACTCTGATTTATGATGGTTTTATAACGGCAATGAAAAACCCAGCATTTCAAAGTGTAAACATTCCTGCTTAGTAATTCCGATTTTAGCTGTATTAAAGACCTTTTATAGCCTGGCAAGAAAGTCAAAAACTGTATTGTTTAAAAAATAAATTTAAACAGGTATCAATGCCTCCTTAAACTGTTATGTAATTCAAGCATAAACGTCATTAGCAATTGTTTATTAATGTCTTGTTAAAATACTATATAACCGTGTCCTATCATTATAAAAGTAACGATAAAACCATTAGGTTTTGGATTAGAGCCAAAGCATTTATTATCCCCAATTACTCTGTTTACAAATTGAGCTTAAAAGATGGTTCCTCATAGTTAATAAATGCCAAATTTATGACAAGGAAATCTCGAAGGATAGACGAAGTAGGATGAAAAATTCAAGTCGATTTCAGAAAAATTTACTTCTTTAGAAGAACCACCACACCATCAACGACTGACCATCTGGCGGAGAAGAGTAAAGTGAGCGTGGCCCTCGAATTCATAAAACACTGTCGAAAGTTTAAAAACATACCAGCCTTCTCCAGATCTTGCGAATAGATGACAATCGAAATAACAACCGACAACAAACCACTGAAACTGTTAGTTAGCGGTGATTAGCTGGTTTCCGATCCAAAACCGCGATTTTATTCGGCGAAAGAATCAACTCTTCGAAAATTTCATTCAAGCGTAGATCCCTGCATCGTTGGATGGTGCACTTCTGTTCATCCGGAAGAAGGGGATCTCTTTCGGGAACGATTGCGCCTCCAGCTGTTCGAAATGCGAAATGCTGTAGAACAGTATCGCATAATATCTGAGTAACTGCTCCCAATCCATCGGGAGAAAACCGCCTGGATGAATCCTGGATCTCAAAGCGCAACTATCGAAAGATAAACAAACTTTGACGTTTAACTTTTTGCCTCCATAAATGCTGCCATAAATCTGAACTGGTTAGGTTCAAGCAAAATGGCTTTAGATAAATACAATTCAGCCTGCAAGTTTTCTTCATAAAAGCCATTTTAAAACCTTATTAATTTGTTAAGGAATTCTTGAAAGCAGAACAACTTTTTCACAAATGACCCATGAAAATCAACTTTTATGCCACCGCCATGTAACAATTAGTTTGTTTGTTTTTTACAATCTTCGATTTTCAATCAATATTTTCTTAGATTTAACTATATTTTGGTAAATTTAGCAATGAGAAAACATTTAAATGCGCAAATAATAAAAAAAAGTCTCGGCCAAGCTCGATCTGAAGAATATATTCTTTTTTCAATGTTAAATAATTAGTCACATCGAAGTGTTACGAGGGCGGACTTAATTTTTTCGATGTTTTCACGTACATTTCACATAAAATTTAATATGGCACTTAAAACTAGGCCACTTAATGAAAACTATTGTAATAAATTTGGATATTGAACAAGATTTTTATACCATCAGTTTCTATTTTAATTATTTTGATAAGATCGGATTCATAAATCTTTTTCTATCTTGATTGATGCTTTCCTAGTGGATTCAGCATGTGGCTAGGGGAAATGACTCGGAAAGGGTTTTTTATTGTTGCTAAATAGCTTTTATTGTAGCTTTCAAATGGTTCTCAATGCATTCGTTATACAACCTTTTGCAGAATCAATCTTGATGAGCTTCGAGAATACACCCTTGAGAACTTTATCCAGGGTGGGCCAACTAGACATATTCTAGTCTTAATGAGGTTTTGGTGGATGCATTAATGACAAAACAGCCTTGACCAGAGTTTTATGAATGTTGTTTTATAGTTTCTTTGTAGTATATCATAAAACTTAAAATGTTACTTGGGCAAACTCCCCCGGTGGAGAGGGATGGTGAGGGGTATTTCCCCCGCCACCACTGGCAAAAAAAGATGATCACCGACACGCTCATGTACCGACGATGTGTTTGAAACAGTTCTACCGATGTTTACCGCACTCCCGTTGTAATTTGAAGGAAGGCATCCAGTCGTAGGTTTGGAAATTGCAGCTATTATTACCTCTACCACGGTATGTACTCCTGTCATCGTCGACTTGACGATATCGTGGGGACCCTCACCATCCCTCTCCAACGGGGGAGTTTGGTAAAGAGAGATGATCAAACCGATTCGTACTTTCATTCATAAAAGTTGTGCTTGCTCGCTTTCTACTCTCTATATTAATAATTTCACACTGCCGTACTCTAACGGAACTATCAACTCTATACTTTCATCTCCTTATCTATCGTTTTTTTTTTGTACTTTATACTATCTAGTTTCATTCCCCAAGCCGTTTTTAGCTACGCGAAATCGGTATTCGATTTTTCGCGTATCGAAGCTAAAGGTATCGTGGTTGTTTTAAGTACAGTCAAATCTGTAAACGCGTTTTTCTCAGAACCACTTTTTTTTTTCGCTGCCCGATAAGTTTTCACAGGAAATATACAACTTATCGAATTGAGCTTTTAAATTTTGGTTCTTCATACTTGTCTTCGGCTAATGTCCCATTTTCATGTCAATATATTAATATCTATCATTTTTTTTTCCAAGTGCCCGAAGTAAAAATGGGTAAAAATCGACCACTTTTTTTGTATGGCCGCCATTTTGTGAATTTTTTTTTTTTTCGTGTGAGTTGGAGATTAGCCGAAGAATCTTAAACAGATTGCTAATTGCATGCGTTTGTGTGTTACATACAGAGTTAATGTACACGTGCATCCATCCCGCGTGATAGAGACACGCTTTCTATCAGATCTTAGGTGCCTGGTACATTTCGAGACGAATTATTTCGCGTCTCTTTTTTGTTTCTACGTGCCTCATTCGTGTCACATGTGCTGTGTCTCATGAGTCAAGCTCAGCGAGCTCCAGGGAGATCGGCAACGTACCTACGTCCTGCGTGCATGCTAAAAGTGGCTGGTTGGTGATAAAGAAAACAACGGAGAACTGTTGATCGAGTAGTCATGTCACATTCTCGTGTTGCTGGTACAGCTGATTGATTTGAATAAGTTGGTATTCAGTTTTTGAGCGTTGAGAAATTGCGGTTTTATAGAAGTATTTCAAGCGGAAGATTACGAACCAATTACCGGCGGGGTTATTTGTTACCGATCCATGCGCACGGAATTTTCATCGTTCAAAATATTGATTTTGCTCCACCAACTTCAAACAATTTGAAATCAGCTCCTGATTATTCTCACAAAATTTGATCTCATTAGGATGCGAACTCATTCTGCACTTCGCCCTTTGTAGTTTATGTGGGAATTGAAAAATTAAACGTTAGGATAATTAGCTATAATAGGACATAATGGGACAAACAATCTAGGCTATTATGTCATAAGGGAAAGATGCAGTGTTGCCCTGAAAGCAGCCGATTAATCCTACCAGAAAGTTATCAACTTGGAAATTAATTAATAACTAATTTTCTTGAAATTCTTTTGAAAAGTGGTTTTCAACAAAGTTGTAGATGGGAAAATGTCACGTTAGGGGGCTCCGATGGACAAATTTTCTTATAGTAACTCCCATGTCAACTTCAAAGAGCCAGTGCAGAATGAGTTCGCCATTAAATTAGCAATTTGGGAGAATGATCAGCCTGATTTGGAACCGATTGAGCATGGTGGATCAAATTGCAACCATTATATAATGAAAAGATACTTTGCAGCTGGCAGCAAAACAATAGTTCGGAGGGCCCTTTAAAACAATATCTTCGTTATTAAAATTGATTCGAGTGACTTCATCCAGCAGTATTTTCAGCTTGTCAAGCTGTAGCCGATAACATCACTAGTTAATTCAAACATGTACGTAAATGTGAGAACTGTTCAAATATATTTTGAAAAAAAAGCATGCTGTGTTGGTCCAATCTAGTAAAGGGTGTACTGTTTAAAATCTACACACACACTCAAATTGCTCTAACTTTTGATCCTTTTGGTAAAATTAATTTAAGTCTGAAAATATTTTGAGAAATAAGAAAACTAGATGGTAAGTTTTGAGATGAAGCCAACATATGTGTCACACTCAACAGTCGGTATCTGAATCGAAAACCATATTTTCCAAAATGTTTATTTAGTAGGCTGAATATCTTTAAAGCTCTGCGGAGCTGAAGGACTAAGCAAATATTGCAATGGAGATCTAAATCGGATTCCTATTTTTTTGCTCGAAATGCAT